CCCCCTCCCCCTCCCCCTCCTCCTCCCCCACCAAACCTGTTGTTACGATCTCAGGTCACATGACAAACTAGTCACCTCACTTTGAAAGTGTGTCACAATTACTTGTGGATTGCACAGTCTTCATACAAAGAAATAACACAGTAATTTCTTTGCAATCACCTAACAACTGGCCTAATTTTTATTCATAAGAAATTGAGAAAAGCTCTGGAAAATTCACTTTTTAACTCTGGAAAGCGCTGAATTCATCTTCCGACAACAGTAGTGCTACTCAAAAGCTAAAACAGCCGCCCAAACCAAAGGACACTCTCAACAGTAAGATTCTTTGGTGCATCCAAAAGGTGGCACGACGCCGGAAGTTGACAACAGACAAAATTAACTACTAACAAAAGGAAAGAAGGTGCGGCGGTTTGAGTTTCCAGTTGGAAGAGCTGTTTGACTGCAGGCGGGACTACCAGCTTTCCCATTGCATTCGGTGAATGTCTCCCAGTGGTGTAGGAAGGCCGATTACGAGTGCAAAAAGCCGAATAATGAAAGTAGTAATCGTGCAGAGCAGTAAATGCTTTAACCTTTTCACCTTCACAAAGGATGAAGCGAAACGTTTAAAGCAGACTCGTGACGTCTAGTTGACACATGGTGCATCAGTTTTAGTCTCTGACGTAGCATCATTACTCCGTGGCGTGATTGTCGGGCCACTCTAACATTCTGCCTTTGCATCTGTACGTACACTTCTTTGGGCATGTGCAAGTGCTGGGAGGAGGTGGCGCGGTGCCTCTGGATTGAGACGTCTTCACTTGAAGTGTGGGAGTAGGCGAAGAGGGGTGTGGAGGAAGGACCACAGCGCAGGATGACACGATAGGTGATTGGTTGGCTGGGCGATGAAAAATAACGCGAAAAAACAGGTCTCGTCTCCAGTCTCGAATTGCAACAACTTTTTTTTAAAATCTTACGGCACTCCTTGTCATAAATTACTTAAATTCCTATTTGTAAGTCCAAGTGGTATCGTTGGTTTCGACCGTTTTGTTTTAGGCGAATTCCAATTTCTGAAAAATCTCTTCGATGGAGGGATTGAAAAAGTCCTATCACCTCAAAGGAATTCCACCCTATCCTCAACTTGTTGTCATCTGCTATCTGTATTTAAAGAGCTTTCCACTCCTCTTGCGAATTGTTCAAAATGTAACATTTTAAGAGTTAATGAGATTCAAAAACAAAAAGGTTTAAAGCGGTGTGCATCAAAACGCAAGTTGTAGCGAGATCCGCAAAACCAACTGATAAATTAGATTTCAAGTGATATTAAGAACTCTCTCTCTCTCTCTCTCCATTGTAAGCACAAAAAAGTACGCGAGGAGCTTCCTTTTGCAGTGCAGAAAATAGTAGTTCGAAATCGACCAATCACGTTCGTCTGGAAGTGATTATGGTGTTTTTTTCTCTTTTCCTTGCCCCATTTCCGAGGCTACAAGATGTTAATTGATCGCGTCTCCTAAATGCCATTCGATTCCTTCTACAACTCAACCCTACTGAAATCTGTTGGCTGTTGGGAAAAAAGTGCACCCTAAAATTAGGCAATTTTATGGCATTGCAATGAAATAAACTTGGCTGATTCTGCCTTTCTTATCAGTTAACAAGTGTTGAGGCTGTTTTGATTGCCTCAACACGGCGGCGCATTGGTCACATTCGAGGCGACTGAAGAAAAGCTTGTTCGAAGGGTTGTAAATGGGAAGAAGAGTCATTTGACAGGATAATTAAGCGGCGCGAGTTGTACCACCTGATGCAACTGGATTGACAGACGAATGGTTGTCGTCATTTTTTGCCAAAGCCGCACCACAGAATTGAAACCATTTGTATGGAGTTGGATTTGCGATCAAGTGGACCTTTTAATAGGCATTTAGCACGTGTTCGGGTATCGCTGGTGGGTGGTTTTCCTTCTAGAATGTTCTACTCCAGCTTGACAGTGAACATCAATCTCCAGTATAAGTCGAATTCGAGTGATTCGTCTGCTTCAAGGCTTGGCAACAGTAGGTAATGCAAAAAGGGTGAACTGTGTGATACAAATAGTTATATTAGAAGCCTTGGATTTAGTTTTTCTCCTTCTCCACTTCCTCCTCCTCCTCCTTCCCTCCGAAATTAGCGATCGCTTTTAAAGTTGTGGGTTTGGTCACCGTTGAACTTTGGCTTTCCAGCTCCAAACCAGGCGTATGGCCAAGTGGGTACACTTCAGTGCCTCAACCATGGATAGCAGTGCGTTTGTCAGAACTGAAATGGGAACCACTTCAAGCAAAATTTCTCAGCATAGTTAGTCGAAAAACTTTCTCCAAAACTCGCTGTGAATCACCTGCTGCCTTCTTAAGACAGGCTTCAAGCACATGAACTGGTTGAGGTTGGTACTCGGAGGGGAGCAGAAGTTGATGATGTCATTTCCCATCAAGCAACACACAATTCCCATTTTTATGCTCAGCCCCATGGAGCCAAAAGATATTCAGAGACTGACGTTGGCTCGCCTAATCGTAATTGGTGAGAAGGTGGTAGCTGCTGCTATTAATAAATCAGTTTCTTTCCACGGTAAAACTCCTCTCTTTGGCATTCATCCTGGCATGAAGGCGATTACAAAAGTTCACATCATCAAATCAGGCGTCGTCCTTCAGACTAAGAGACAACGTTTTAAAGCACCAACCACTTTTCGATATCTGCAGCAAATTGGTGACCTCGGGGCCAGTCATAGGTGGCACTCAAAGGATAATCGGTGTCGGTCCTTAAAGACACCGCTGCAGAATTGAGAGCTACGAGAGAAGCAGTCTTTGAGGGTCTTCACAATAAGTCACACAAATTTTCATAACTTTAGCCGAAGTATGGAGAAATGAGGGCATAACACTCCATCCTTCTTTAATCCCCAAAGTTACGCATTTTGCTTCGGTCTAAAAGGTCAAGTGCTTTCCGGATCACTTTAGTGTAGATGAAACGCTCATCATCAGTAAGATTTTGGTCCATCTGGGCTCTCAACACTCACTGCACGGTGGCCTCGTTATTACGATGACCTCAGCATTTGCTTTAGCATTGAGGACATGTGAAAAGCAAGACCATTCGCCGTGTCACGTCTGTCTGCGTCGCCATCGCTCAACCTGTTACGACAAGTTGGTTACCATTCGAAAACATGTCTTCAAAGTTTACGACAGTAGGTTGAATGCTTAACTCCCACTTCAATGCGGGGAGGGTTTAAGGCCTCTGTCATTTCGTTTTCATCTCAAGGGCTACCCTCTGAGTTATGTCACCGGCCTCAATCGCTCCTCAAGTCAAATGGGTGTGTCCTGCCCGAGTGTTACACCGTCTGTCGGTGGGTATTTCGGGCGTGTCAAAGTGTAATAGTCTACTGAAGTGTTTCACCAAGCCCGTTAGACCTCCCAATTGAGCCACTTTGCTTATTAGCCTGACAAGGTGATGACCTAAAAATACGTTTCACAACTCTCACTGGTAGGTGCTACAAATTGATGAGTCAAATGTCTTCTCAAAACCCTCACACGTTCGTTGAAGAATATCAAAGAAAAGTCAAATATGCACAAAGCTATTATAGGCGCGTTTTTTTTTTTCAAAACCACCACAATTTTAACAGTTATTTTTGTTATGTTGGTTAGGCTGTGCTGTCATGGCTTCAGTAGGCCTCGTTGCCGATGTGGGCTTTGACTACCGTGAAGCACGAAAATGGTTTGATGTGTTGTAGCGTGTTTAGACTATCTTAAAACCTTCTAACACGATGATGTAAAGGGATTCAAAAGGGACGACTTGTGCTACCAACTGTGAATTTGAGAACCTCTTTCTACGATGATGCAAAACCATTGTTTTAAGGATCGCCTATCAAACCAGGTAAAAGCAACTTTTGGACTCACTTGAATGCGTAAATTTAAGCGCAGCTCTGCTGTTTGGATTTTAAAGCAACATGCATGCATCTCGGATTCTTATAGCGCATCTGGAGCGGATTCTTTGACGACGTTTTTTAACTCTGAAAGGTCGAGCTGTCAGACCACGACTCTGACGAGATTAAAGCGACTGCAGCTCTCTTGAAAGCCGAAGACGTCATGAAGGAAGAAGCCTTTTTTGGGGTTGGAAGACCATTACCGTTCTTCCAATTGTCCTCGAATGTCTCCATGGTGGAGTACATAGTGGAATCACAACAGCGAACCACCAAAAACGCGTCAATGACAATGAGATGGTGGAGGAAGGAACAGCATCCTTTCTCCCACACAGACAGGCATCATGTGGCCGATAGCCTGTGAGTTAACTGTCTCGGGTTGCCAAAAAGCGCGGTCCCCCCGTAAACTTATCAATAGGGTCTTTGAAATTCCCTTACTTCGTCACAAAATGTAATTGTTGTCCTCTTTATTCCCATGCCAAGGATGTCTTCACGAATGCTTCGTGTGAAATTTGTTAGAGAAAAAGCAATTCTCTGGTGTTGTGGCCTCGAGTGTAGTAGAGCAGAAGGTAGACTAACGCACGAGGTTGTCACTTGGAGCGACATTCTGTTACTTCTGTTTTTCACAACGAATTTTAGGAGGCGAGTTATAGAAAGAGACGCCTTTTGAGTTTAAATTATCTTTCTCCACAAACAAAAGTAAATTGTAACCATTTTACAGAACAAAAGAAGG